AAATCCTGTTTATTTGTTTCAGCAGGTGTCTGCATGGTTCAAAGGTGTCAGTGGTAATCTGGGATTCATGGGGCTGCTTTGACAAAATCTGCTGTGATGATCACATGTGGAAGTGTGGTAGCAGATTTTCCAGTACACTGTATGCAGTACAGATCACCTGCAGTCTATACTTTAGATGAGCATGGATCCATGCTGTCACAAATGAGCACATGGAAGTGAGAGCCACCAGCCTCTGTCCCCCTGAGTTTGCAAGTTAAGAGGAAAGGGTACTTGAAAGCCAGTTTAAAGGTGAGATCTGCACTTGTGCAGTTGATCTTGCAGCCTCCAGTTCTGCCCTAATAGCCCTGCCACAGACTACCTGATTGTGATAAAACCTCAGGGGCCTCAAGTACCAGTTGTTCCATCAGGTTTTGTTCCCTTCCTTTGATGCACGGATAGACTCCACAACTTGTTAAAGTTGTAAAGTGGGTATGCTTTATTCGGCACTGAGGTGCATGGGGGATAGCTCCTCCAAAGGCATGCGCACCTCAGCGTCATTTCCCCTTTATGTTTATTCTCTAAAGTTATACATATGCATGAGATTGCACAACAAGCTTATACGTATTCATATCCTATCCCCGCTTCTTATTATAATGAGCTAAGTCCTTTGCGCCTGCGCAGTGCCTCCTCGTGGTCGTAGGCGAGAGTCTCAAGATGAAGTAAATGAGTCTTCCTCAAGCCTGAGCTTTTCACCTCTAGTCGTTATGCATGCTTCCTGGAGGCTTGGTCGTTGTCCAAAGCTCAGAGCCAATTTCAGCTGGCCTAGGTGTCCAAAAGACTGGAATCAAGTCACAGTCGCTACTTCTTAACAATAGCTATGTCCTTATATCTTGTTATAGCATACATGGCGAGTACGATAAGCATGAACATATAGTAACATTGTTAAACAAGCGGCTTGATCTACCCCCTTGTACATTGCAAGTACAATAAGCATGAGCGAGCAGTAACACTTAAGCAAGCAGCTTGACCTATCCCCCCCCCCCCCCGTACATCGGTTAACCCTTCGCATCACCTTCACCCTTTCAGTCTGCCACAGCTCTGCTCCCCTCCACGAGCCCTTCTTGCTATGAGGACTCAGTTGGGGACAGAGTGGCTGTACTCTGAAGGTCCCTGTACTCTTCTGCCCTGTCAGAAACCATCTCTGGTATGGATTGACCTCATGGGTTGTCCCGGTTAGCAACCCAGCTCCAGGTGTTGAAATTTTTCGGAGATGAGCCCAATTCCTTGTTCTGTGGTATGCCATTATGAGAGGAAAGCAGCTTTACCACATGCAAATCTAAATCTCTAGCAGCCTATGGTTCAAACACACAGGGAAATACATCTGCTTAAGGCCTTGTAAGTTTAAGGATTCTCTTGAAAAAAATTCAAATGCAGTTCATTGGAGCATATTTGTACCTCCTCTTGCTATCACCTAGCCTTTTCTGCATACCATTTTTACTTCTTTTCTGAGCAAGGCAGTGGCTGAAATGCACTACATTTACACACTTTGAATAGCTTTTCTTCTGTTCAGGTTTATTTATTTTGCTTTGCTTTGTTTTTCCACGGGCTGTTCTGTCATCCCTAATTTTAAAAAATAGCTCTGTTATTCCTCTAGATCAAAGCAGAGACACTCCTTAGAAAAGCTGGTTCACTGGTTGTCTTCATGATCCATACTTGTGGTCTGGATCTGGCAACATCAGCAGCAGCTGTGTCTCCAGCTTTCAAGTCCACAAAGCCAGCTTTGTCCTGAAGGAGGTCCTAAGGGTCTGTGCCATTGACATTCTTAGCAAGCCTGAAAAAAGTTTATTAGCAGCTACTGATGAACCAGCTGTATGGGTCCTTGCAAAGAACTGTAGTTCATTAGCAGCTGCCCTGTGGGGAGGGCAGCCAAGTACCTGACTCTCATTTTGCAGCCTGTCAGGCTCAGATCAGCAGGACTGGAACAGCTCTTCAGGACCACTCAAAGCTGTCTGCACCTCTCAGAGCTGATCTAAGTGCCAGGAAAGGAGTACAAATCTCCATGCCAATGCCAGCAGGATGGGGATTAGACCTCTCCTCTTAAAGCATTCTGGGAAATACAGCTTTTATAGCTCTCTATAAATAAGAAGATTTACTGCAGATGGTGATTTCAGCTGAAGATAAGTTTTAGTGTTGCTATGCATTTAAAGATTTTTTAAATGTAGATTAATTTATCTGACAAACACAAAGATGGGAATGTGAAACAACTTCTCAGTATTCTATGATATTCTCAGAAGAGGCACATCATTCTGTAGTAGTGTGATGTGGAAACATCTACTCAGCAAACCCAGAGGTAACATTTAACAAATGGTATAGCCTAGGTTATGGAAATTATAACCAATGCATGAGAAACTAGTGTTATGTTCTCTTGATATGAAGCTGACAAGTGTCTATTTGTGCATGCTATCAAGAACATCTCTGGCTGAAAGTGTGATTCTTTACACTACTCAGCCCTTAGAAGGGATGGTAGCTACACTTTAACAGTGAAGACAAGGATATGGAAAAGTCAAATACTTCCCCATAGTGTGTTTGGCTAACAGAGGTGACTAAGCACAGGAAAAACAAAATGATGGATGAGTTGACACTTGTGCACTCAACAAAGAATGTACAAGAGGAAATTCTGGCTGATCTCAGCAAAAAAACACACCCTGCAATGTGACCCTGGCCATGTCCTTCTGCTTGGGCAATCATTTATATCCAATAACATTCTAGGAGCTGATTCTTATATCAAATATATTGAATGAATCCCAACTGCCTCTGACAGAAGCAAGATTTCTTGCTTCTTTATTCACTCTTATTCCTGAAGAGGCAGATTGTACCACTGACTGGCTCAGCAGGAAACTGCTTTGGCACATAGTTCTACTGTATTGGGTAGAAACAAGTAGATTCATCACAATCCGTTCTCATTTTAATTTCAGTTTTTCTGTACATAGGGTAAATTAAATGGGCATAATATTCTAATTATTCTGCCTCATTTCAAGGATTTTGACTGACATATGGAAAAGGAATGGCTGATTATTCTAACTACTTAAAATTTTATACTATGAACAACTCTGCATATATTGCAAATTAAAATTCAAAATCCCTGAGTTAAGATTACTTGTTCGACTAATATTAACACTTTTTTTACACAAATGTTAGAATTTGACCATACATGTCATTTTCATAACAGATGAGATAGGTTTGATATTTGCATAAGCTCAACACTGGGACAATAGGTGTATTTATTGTTTACATAACCGGGTGTCAAAAATGATGCAATAAGTAATTTTTTACTGCCACCTTGTGGTCCTACAGGCTTTTCATGACAAAAAAAGAGACAAGGCGTTATGCAAACCAAATATAAACAAAAGGCTATACAATTATACTGATAAATTCCCCCTCCATGTCATCTGTTTTTTTACTCATCACTTTTGACTTTCATAATTTATGTCGTTGTCATTTGTACATAAAATCACTATGTACAAGCTGCAAACTAAGAACAATTTGTCCTGTATGCATAAACAATATCTGAACATAGCTGAACATAACATATCTGAATGAGACCTTTGAAACAATTTTTAAAAGTCTCAATGTTAAACCTTGTTTTTTACTTCTTTTTTTTTTTACTTAATTGCCAGTGCCTCTGTGCTTCTAGAAACAAAAATTTGCATTTTCAGATGCATTGTATATTTTGTACAGATTCTTCCCTGATTTGTATGTGTTGAAGATAGTTTTAGTTGCCAGGCTAGCAATCCTAAATGCCTCTGTGACACAGAAGCAACTTTCACTGGCCTTATTCTGCACTTGAAAGTAAACGCCTGCAGCCTGTAATGTACTTTTCTGCAACATGACAAACTTTGAAAATCAACATTTAATGCATCAAATGATGTTGCAGTGCTGTTCATGCTATCTGCTAGCATTCGTTGATTTTATTTTGCTCTCCTGTAGTGCTTGTGGAGAGAATCATCTCATGCCTCTACTGTGATTCCTGTGTTGATGTTGGCATTACATAGATTTCTCAGTTTTCTTGTTTCTGAGTGATTTTTCTGAGTGATTCTGATATGTTGTGTTACATAGCCACTGCTTCTGATGTCTGGCTTTTGTTAAACTTCTTCTTACCAGAAGATTTCCTGCTCAAGCAGTGCTTCAAGACTGAAGCTATAAGCATGCGTCTTCTGGTAAAGCTCTTTTGAGAATCATAACCTCTCCCTATAACTCCATCCAAAACTGTAGCTTATCAACAATTCATGAAATCAGGTAGACAACTACATCACATCCCAAGGTAGGAAAGTGTGCTCTAGTTAGACTAACTCCGCACTTCTGCTTTTTTCTTGTGATATCAACTGGTTTAAAAAACTCTGCACATCCATGGTGGTTTTGCAGGTTGCAATGTCTGGTGATCATGAAGAAAATGTTAGGCTAAACCTGGGTTAAATCTATGCGAAATGGCTGTGCTAACTGTGGAGGACTACACTTGAGAAGTATGTTGAGGTATTCCAGCAAACTAAATCACTCATAGAAAGAAAAAAGTGTAGAGGGAGAGAGGCTGACCAACAGAAGCTGGTAAAAATTACAGTCGTATTTAGTCTTCAATCCACCCCTCTTACCCTGAGAACAGCCCAGATTAGTGTGAAAGAAGTGTCTCAGTTGTGGCAGCCAGAACAGGAGGCAAGCCACTGTCAAGTGATACCCCCCCTTCATACAAAAATGACTCCAAAGAGTCTGTTTTTCTTCTGGACTTGCTCTTGTCCCCATGTGCAGGGAAGCTGACTTTACTGTGGCATTTAGACTGGCTTCCTGCTTGGGGACTTCATAACTCTCATCATGTCCTTTATACCCTCCATTTAATTCTTCATAATCTATCAGTTGCCCAGAATGAGGGCTGCTGTAGAGATAAAAATCCAGTGTCTTTGCTGGGGCACTCAGATACAACTGCTCAGCTCTCCTGGGTGATTTGTGTATGGTTGTTACAGCATCCTTCAGTCTGTTTGCCATCTCCTTCTTTCTCATGAGCTAGCAAGGAGTCATGTTTTCCAGCAAGATGACTGCTACATGAAGAGGCAGACCTTTTTTCTTTTTCATGAATATAAAACCATGTGCATTGTCTTGGCCATACAGAATGGAAAATCTTTCATATGTTTTCGTTTCAGTTGTTGCTTCCATACCTTTTCCTTGTTCTAACAGCACCTTCCAGATTTCAATGCTTCACCAGCTACCTATATTTGGGAGCTAAGGGTCTATAAGAAAAGGTCACAGCATTTAGAGGATACTGACCAGTCAGAAAGGACTTGAATTGTGATTTTAAGGTACTTTTAGAAAGAAGTCTTTACAAACTACTGATTAAATATTTCTAGATGGCACAGGAGAAAGCTGTGGGACTAGGGAGAGATCTAGCATAGAAGCAGAGGACATCAGTCCCAAGTAACACATCCAGTGGATTTCAAGAAGGAAGGCAGAATGGACATGGGGCAACTGAAGGAAAAAATGAGAAAAGAGTGCAATTTTTTTGTTGATTAATTTTTATAATTTGTCTTCTCCTTTTGACCATCCCACTTATAAAAGCTAACAGCTATGAGGCCACCTCTTATTGCTTGCTGTGCAGAGGAGCTAAAAAGAGCTACAGAATACAGGTGTTTGGGTTGCTTTAGTTTTGTGGGAGGGGTTCTTTTTTTTTTTTTTTTTCTTCTTTTCTGATGGCATTCCATCAGCTGGAGTTGTGTACCACAAAGAATCTGGAGGTAGGGCTAAATTAGACCTATTATAAGAAACTGGTCTGACAAAAGATACCCCAATTTATTTTCTTTTTGTATGGAAGAGAAGCATAATACATATATATCAGCATCAAACCCTATCTTTTCCTCCTGAAAAATGGATGAGCTCAAATGTTTATAAAACAATCTCATGTTTGAATAAGGATCTATGATTGATAGCATAATTTAAAATAACATAAACCAATGATTATCACAGGTGATGGTATCTCCAAAGACATCAGTTGAAACGGAAGAAATAGTGAAAGGCCTGGGAGAATTATTGTGATTTCAAATATAGAGGAAAAGTAAAGATGGTAAGAGAAAAACTCAGCAAAAACATTCTAACTTGATACCAGGGAATTGAAAACAGTATGAAAAAACCACAGCAAATAATTACAACCATAAGAGAAAAGAAAGCATCTCTAGAAGTTCAAAGATGTTTGTGCTGCCAAAAAGCACAATTACAGCCTCAGTCTACTGCCTCAACTATTGTCAAAAGGAGCGTTACAAACAAAAACAAAGTGCCAGTAGCATGAAAAATCTGACTGTAGCCATCTCCAATAAAAGAAAAAGCATGACAGTGACCCCCACATCTGTCTTTTTGGTTAATGAGAAAAGTGGTGGTGTGTGAAGCAACACAGACAGTTGCAGTGGCTGTCACAGTGTTTGTTAAAGAGAGATTTACAAAAGTGGTAGGAGTGAGTTCACTACAATTCAATCCAGCTTTCACTCATGCACAGACAGGTCACTGGAATCTCAAAGTTACTCTTTTCACTGCAATTTCTAAGCAGAAAAGCCAGTGGCTTAGGCAGGATTGTTAATCAGTTCTGCCCCTTCAGAGCTCCACACAAGGGACCAGTTAGCAGGAAGCTGGGGACTTTAATGATGGCTTTCCCTGGTCCTCTGGGAACTCAGGAGCTTCTTCCTAATTTTTGGGTCTAGCCAGACCAACCTCCTGCTGCAGGGCTGTCCTCTGTTTGCAACTTGTCCCTTAGGGTACCTTGCAGTCACTTGGGTCAGGAGGTCACTACACCTCGTAACTGAGCAGGACTGAGCCTACACTATCCACATGTCTGAATGGGCTTTCTATCTCATATTTCTTTTGGAGCCGATGTCCATTTAACAGCTAGCATGGGATATAAACTTCTGTCTTGCCTGTCTGACTTTCACTGCTCTTTAACACTAGCAGTCTTCAACAGGACATAACTAGTGATAAAATTCAGTTGCTCTGGGTTTTTTGTGTGCTTCGTTTTGTTTTGTTTTGTATTTTTACCAATTTTCACACACAGTTTGAAATTGTTCTCCCTGTCCCTTTGGATTTTCTGGACCTGAGCCATATCATGTAGGTGACACAATAGTTTAATTTAGATACATGAATCTCTTGCAATGGAATTGAATTCACATGACATCCAAATGTTGTCAGAGAAAAGGCAAGTTAAGGGAAGTAGCAACATAAAGCCTATTCACAGAATTCTCTGATCTGTCAAATGGCAGATTTTTTTACATCAGCAACATCTGACACTCAGGGAAGGAAAATAACAGCAGCGGTGGAGCCCACCTGAAACAAGAATATATTTGTGTTAATTACTGTGCAGTTATGTCACAAACTTCTGTAGAGAACTGACAACCCAACAGGAAAAATAAAAAAAGATGGATGGGAAAGAACTTTTGTTTTCTTGTGTCATCACATTGATTTATACCTAGTGTCAAGTTATTCTAGACAAGTACAGCAATTCTAGGTGGGTTTTGCCCTTGGAAAACCTTCTGAAAAATTCGCAGAGAAACAACCTAAAAGCATGCTGAATTGCATTCAATCCAGACTGCAGAACTGAAACTGACATAGTAGCACCAACAGATAGCTTCCCTCTCAACAAAACATTTGTTCTCAGCCTCTCCATTGCATTTGATATGTTCATAACCATAAAATACTGCTGTTGGGTGAGAGGGTAATTACAACCATTCCAAACATTGTGCCAAAATGTACTGAAGCCCTCCAACTGGGTGGCATAAAGTTCCTTGGCTGTGAATACAGATATGTACTTGTCCATTGTTGAAGTCCTTTCCCTAATCTCTCTCAGCTTGGCACCCAAAAGGACTGTTATCAGGTTGTGTTTCTGGACTGTCCCAGTCTGGTAAAAGATAAACTGTATTCAGTGACATTTCTCAGCAGGACTAGATCAGTTTAATGCAATTAAGAATGAACCCTGAAATTCAAAGTGGTAGAAGACAATATGGAGCCCTTCTGCCTTACCTAAGAGTGCCTCTGCAGCACCTATGGGTGCCTCCATGTGTAGCCTTGATTCTTTCAAGATGTGGCACTTTCCACTGTGAACAATTGCAATGCCCTTATCTACATGGACAGTCAAAACCAAGTGGTTCCTGTCCTGGGAAACCAAGCTGAAACATGTGCCACGTGGAGTATCCTGTCATTAACGGGGAAATATGGGAACAAAGTCCTCCAGCACTACCTTAGGAACTTCTGTAGAATATATTATTTTGGAAAGAGCTACAGTTCCACACATGTACACATATCAAGAGAATTAAAGTCCAAGAAGGTGAAAAGAGTCTGGTCCTACTTCTGGATTTTTACTTGAGGCAGAGCTGTTTCTGACACAGCTGCATAACCAGAAATCTGTACCTATATTATTGAAATCTATAGAGGTTTCTAGAAAACTGAACTTCAACAGAAGTTTCTAGCAAATAATTCCTCAAATATCAGTTTCCATCAGCTAAAAGCTAAAGGCAAATGGCTTCAAATGATGGAGAAAAATCCCATTCTACTTAGTCATGGGTGCATCCTGAGTTTGCTTTGATACAGTAGTAAATTCCTGTAAGTAGAGAAGACAGACCTTCGTTAGAGAGCATACAGTCCACAGGTGGTGGGTTGGCACTGTCTGGCAAAGACGGACAGCTGATCCATGAACTGGAAATCAATGACATCTTAAAACAAAACAGTTATTTTAATAGTAAGAGGCATGAGGGTTGGACTAGGTGATCTCCAGAGGTCACTTCCAACCCTAACAATTCTGTGATTCTGTGATATGAATCAGGTTTCCCATGTGGCCCAATAGGTGTCCCCATACTATGGCAAATTGGAACAAATCTGAAAGAACTATGAACACGCACAAATTTTTCCCTTCACACACTGGGTTATCATGTAATTATGAATCAAATGCAAGCTCCTAATCCTCATCTTTAAAGCATCAAATATCCCACTATTACTTCTGGCTCTGAAGAGACCATCACGTGTAATGACTTTCCTTAGTACAACTAAACTTTCTACAGTAATGGCGATGAACTCACAAACTAAACAACTTTCTCAGTGAGAGTCCAAGGCTTGGAAATGTACTTTCAGGGCAAACTTCACAACTTTGCTATAAGCACAAGGCACTTCTTTGACTTTATCCCTTATAATATAAACCTATAGAAATATGGATATAAAAAATGCAAAGCAAACACTCCACTAACATACTTCTCTTTCCTCAAAGGACAAGAAACAGATGTATAATTACTTCCTTAGTGTCTTACTGACAGCTGTTCTAAAACTATGGTGATAAGAACAGTATAAACATCTGTAATGTAGAAATATATAAAGCACTTTATTCAAAGTCAGACAAGAGCTGCATAGTTTAACTATAGAAAGAACATGGGTGTTCTGTAGCCACTGGACTTTACCATCCTCTTGCAGTATAGAGCCTTTATGATAGAAGATATTCTGACTAACAGAAGATTTGAGATTCCCCTATAATTCTAAACATATTACCATTTAAGAAACCTTTTTAAAAAGAGACAGATGTTTGCTTCAAAGTATTTGGGGCCAAACCTAATGCTGATATAACACAGGGTAAATATGTAAGTGGAAATGAAAATACATATATTTTCATCGGGGGGGGGGTCAAGAACATCTCAATAGAAGCCAAAAGTCTCACCTACATTTAGAAAGCTAAATTACTTCAGAAAAGAATATGCAGGCCAATGACCAGTTGTGAATTTCACTGAGACTATTATGCATCCGTTTATGTGCTGTTTAATTTCAGAAACATTGTAGAATGAATGAGAATTACTTTATCCAACAAAATGATCATGTTGAACAAGAAGTGACTAAGAGTAATCTAATCTGTCTTCTCAAATACACTTCAAGTACACATCCAGATGCATATAAATTCTGAGGTAGGGAGAATTTATTTACATTATAGGTCACACATTTTGAATTTTCTGTCCCAAAACTTAGCATTTCAAGCTGACAAGAGTCTAAGATTCAGATGCTTGCTTGCACCTGGAACACAGTGCAAGAAAGCAATTTAAGATATTCTTCTGTATATTCTCACAAAAAAGGCACTTAAAACAGGCACCTAGCTCCCTAGCAATGCATAAAGAAAATAATACAAGATTCTTAAGTACCTATACAAATTCTAGCCACTCCAGACTCCCTATTTAGTCAACAGTGAGAATGGCTCTTCTAAAAGAATCAATTGCATCTTCTGAGATTAAACTGCCTTTTAGAGAAACTTTTGCTGTTGTTGTTGTTGACTGCATAAGGAGACCAAAATGGTTATGTTTTGTGCTTAGTCATGTCAGGATGTGTCAGACAGCTTTTGCCTTTGGTCCAGGTCTCAGAAAAAGATCTGACTACCTCAAATGGAAACGTGCAATATTCGTAAGCTAATTGTGTACCGAGCAACACATAGAAGATGTCATTAAAAACAGCAAATCCAGACAGAAGTGCGAGCATTTATTCTTTCCAAGCAAGGAAAATTCAATCAACACAAAGTGGAAAACAAATAATAACATATCTAACGGTGAAAGAGCATTAGCTGTGATATTGTCTGAGCTTTTTGGTAGCTCTTTTGGTGAATTTCAATAAAAATTGGGCAGCTCTGCATTTTTAGAAGTTTTTCACCACAGATGTTTTTAAATACCTTTATAAATCTGGATGTTAACATCCCCTAGAGTGTAGGCTGAAGTAAAACATGTAATTCATAACTGATCATTGGCCTGTGTCAATATGTTAGGAGATATAGTTGTCATTTTGTTTTCAGCAGACTTATCTAAACAAGATTTTAACTATTTGCACCATGGCAATATGTGGTATCAAGAAAGTTATTTATGTTTTTGTTTGTTTGGGTTTTTTTGTGCTGAAGTAATCTAGCTTCCTAAAGGCAGGAAAGACTTCTTACTTCTTTTGAGATGTTCTTGACCCCTCCACTGATGAAAATAGATGTGTTTTCATTTTCATTAACATATTGTAAAAACACAGTCTACTTGTTCTGCTGAAAAGTATAGCTAAAAGATGAGCAGGCTAATTTTCTACATTAGTATTCTGGAACTTGTGGAGCTTGAATTTTCTCCTTGAATTAGGAGTTAAATTACTGCACAGATGAAGAACACTTACAGGAATCATTTAAAGCATCAGATAGGATCATATCTGACACTGATAACACCACTATGTTGCCTAACCCTTTCTGGTAAATAATGTTTTACATTTCTTCAGTTCTTGCTCTCAACTTCAGATAGGCTCTTCACCCTTCTCCTACTATCAGGAACATTTTAGGGAAAAAAGAATAAAAAAAGTCTCTTTAAAAGTATGCTATGTGAGATTATCCTAAAATCTGCATTAGGAGTCTTTCCTGTTTATTCTTAAGAGTGGGTCTGACAGTGGTGTAAAGCTGACACAAAATCAGTGAGTCACTTTTATTAACACTGAGGTTTCTGACTTAACTCCTCATTTTCTGTAGAAGTCCAAGATGAAAATATCTTCAGTCTTCTCTGTTATGGAGAACTGTAAGTGAAACAAGAACCAATTTAAAGTCACTTAAGTCAAAGTGAAGTTCCCATAACTAGAGTTCATTTTAACCTCCTGGGACATGTTCAGGAGTTTTGGTACTGGTGTGATATATCTTTTGTTTCTGACATGATTTACATATGGAAACTGCTTTCCTCTGCACAATCTTTTTTCTTTTGTTGTCCCAAAATCATGACAATATAATCCCAAATGCAATTTTATTTTCCCAGGTTTCCCTCCGGATTTTCTTTTCTTTTTTTCCTAAAAAATGGGGCTTTCCTATAGGGGGTAGTTAAAAAGGTATGAATATTCTTCAAAATGAACATATTTACATGGGTTGACATAGCTGGAGCATCTTGCAAAAATGGGGCTGACTCTACCTTCTCCATTCTGCAGATAGTCCTCTGGGAGCTCAGGGGAAAGGAGGATTGGATCTTCAACCTGTGCAGGAAAATTAGACCTGTACATGAAAACATAATGATGTGCAACTAAAAAATGTTCTAACTTTCTGAGCAAAAGTGTTCTCAAAATGCCAAAAGTTATAGCCTTCCAGAATGTAGCATTCAGTATCTTTAAAATGCTTCTTCACAAGTCAAGACTAAGGTAAAAAGAAAGCACAAAGACAAAACTGCAGGACTTTATTGTCCTTGAGGTATATTTCAGGAAGGGAGGATGATTATGAATCTAAGATGATTAAATACTAATGGCACAAACTTCACAAGTGATGAAACAGCCAAATAAATTACCAGTGCTTTAAACCAGACACATTTAGATTAACAGTACTTTTGTGAGACAGTTTGATAAATGTCTCAAATTTAGCAGTGCTGTGTTGTCCCCATTTCAGGGACCTTTGACTTTGGTCACCTGATTATTAATTGGACTGGTTTGTATCCGTGCATTGTGAGATGTCATACCCCTTAGCTGGGTAAGGTTCTTTGTGAAAATACAGGATCTTATTTATGATTCTGTAGCACAGGGTTTCTCAGAAGGTAAAAGCACTAAGTCGCTGTTTTAGCATGTCAGTATCAACAGTATTCAAATTATTAAAGACAGATCTTCTTTGATAATTTCAAAGTTGAACACAAATGTTCAGTTTGTCTAGACTTCAGGTCAAGCATTTTGAATTCCTGTTACTATTCATCAAAGTTGGCTGTTTTATTATGACAAACCCAAAATTCTTATTTATTCTAAGTGGTAACTTACTCCATAGACAACTGTATTGATTTCAGCAGGATTACTTACAATGTAAAGCACTATTTATTTTAGCTGTCCTACCCTGATATGCAAAACCATACACTATTTGGCACTAAATTACAGTTGTCCTTACAAACCAGGTTTGCTCAGAGCAAGAGGCATTGAGCCATGAGACAGTGTTCCAAGGACATCCATGCAACCCACAAACACTGTCTGCTGGATGGGCTTATAAACCCCAAAATATATGTCTATATGCTAGGCAGGCCAGGCTCATTTATACCAAATAATACAGAGGGATTTGCCAACATGCATTCTTTGTTTTTTTTTTCAGTATGTACAATTTCCATAGTTTGCTAGAGCTTGCTATCTTACTTTCTCTCCATAAACCAGTCTATAATTAGATAAAGTTTAGAATCTACTCAGAAATATCAAAATTAAAGTGAAATTTGACTGTAAAGGTTGGAAAGGCTGTTCAATTGATTTTTTCTAGAAAATGTTTTTCATTATTCCCCTTTCTCTACACAGAAAGAGATCTGAGGTCTGAAGCTCTGCTATCAGATCTTATTAGATGCTCATTCCAGATCAACAATATTTGTCACTGATAGAAGTTCTAGCTCTGCCCCCAGCCTATCCCACCCAAGTAACTGTCACACCACAATTCTTTTTGTCATTTCTGAAAACAGATGTTTTAGAAGTTTTCTAACAATGAAGCAACTATTTCTCTTCGCTTTGATTCATTTCACATAATTGCCTTATTAGCCAACATACTGTTTAATATTTTCTGTTTTAAGGAAATTTATTTGACAGTGTTCTAAGAAATCCTTTTAGATTTTGCTGAGCACAATTAAAAATAAAACTGCTGGGCTTTTTGTTAAGAACCTTTGTAGCAATGCATCTAAAAAGAGCTACTAGAATTGTTTAGCTTGTTTTCTTTATGTGTTATATATGCAGATAGAATTTCAGACACTGACAGCATCATGGCAGCCCAAATTACTCCATGATACCTATATTACAAATAGTGAAGTAGTGAACTGAGTATCCTTCAGAGGTATTATATAGCCTGTTGTTTGCTTTGAAAAGTCAGCTAGCTCAAGCTTCGTATAAAAACTGAGTTTCGCTTACCATAGCCTTAATGTGAAAAAATCCAGCATATGCTTTTGAATACTTCCTAGAATAAATTTGTATATGACAGGCTTCATGAATCTGATGCCTTAACATATAAGCAAAACAGGAACATATGCTTGTGTTGGTGACCCCATCATCTATTCAACACCCTCTCCATCTAATCCTCTTCAAGTCTTACTCTATATTCTGAGTCAGTGATTGGGTTGATATCCCAACCAAGTAAATCCCTTTGATCTATATTTTTGTGTTTTTACTATTTCTTTAACTGAGGAGGAGTAGAGCAGTAAGCAGATTCACAGAAATGCATATGATGCTTCCAATATTCAGGGTTTTTTTTCATTTAATTGGTGGTTTCAAGCAAGGTTCTGACCACAGCCCTGATTTTGTCTTTAGGCTATTGCATTGCATGTCAGTGTTTATGTATCCTGACAGATCATCCTTATCTCCATCACTTGTGGGATATTGAAGTGTATAGTCTAACTAGCATTTCATTTCCATGGAAAAAACTTAGTAAAATGGTAAATCTGTGTTGCTGTCAGAAAGAAATTGATGGTCATTCATCCCCTTAGAAGAGAAGAGAGCAAAGCTAATCATATGCTCCAGCTCTTTCTGCTGAAGGCAAATTAAAGGTGCAGCCTCATGGAGATCAATATAATAGGGTGGCCATTGTGAGAGAAGCACATGGAGTTTTCTCTGGATTTTCTGCAGCCCTCTGGGGATTTCCTGCTATTGAATCATACATCCTTTATGCAGCAATTATGACTATTTAGTTAGCACCAGTTACATAGCTCTATCAACTGGTTCTTAAAATGTGTGCCTTGAGGTAAGCATCTTTATTAGGTGTGGGTGTGGATTTTTTAAAAAGAAGTAGAAAAAAAACTTTAGATTTAACCATGTTTTTTGTGCTTTTCTGTCTATTCTGAATCCAAAAGACTTTAATGACCTTTTGATTGTACTGTCTTTCCTTACTGCTGGCAATTAAAATCTCTTCCTTGCACAGATTTTTTTTTTAGAATATTTTAATTTTTCTTGGATAAATAAGAAACACCTTGTCAGAACAAGGTGGTTTACAACATTCAGAAAGTCTTGTAGTTCTTTCCTTTTAAAGAATGAAAGCAATCTTAAACACAGTATTCTGATAATGGTATCTCTAACGCTATTATCAGACATGACAATGCTTCCTTGTTTTTCCTGATACCCATTAAGAATTGTTTTAGCATTCTAAGTGTCATTTCAGAGTCAGCTATTTTCCTACCTAAATTCTTTTTATTCACAGCTTTCTAAGATGTAACCTCCCCCCCACCCCGTTACCATAAACACTATCTTTTTGCTCCTGGTTGAATGACATTGCATTTGGAAGAGTTAAAATGTGTATTGGGACACTCCAAGTGGCAATTCGAAGGCTATATTTTGTTTCAGATTCACAGCAAGATGATTGTAGGAGCTCATGAGCCTGAGCGGAATGCAGTGGGATAGTTCGACTATTGCCAAACTCCAGCAAGTAGCCTGGAGTCTGAGAACACTTCTCCAGCCTGTGAGTCCTCGGATATTGTTAGCAGGCAGCTAAAAATCAGCATGCCTACAAAAGTGGCCACCACAAAGGCCACTGAGGTTCAGTGTCAGGACAGGGTCAAACACACGTGCTGACAGAAAGAAATGTTCTTCTATAACACTCGTCTAAAGCGAGTGTTCATGCAAGATGATCACTGTGAAAAAAAGACAGTAAATTTACTACAACAAAAATTTCACTCAGATGTGTGAATGTATTTCATTTACTACTAAAACTGGCTGAGATAGTGATAACCTGAACCTCTAATGAGAAAGTTTCAGTCAGGACAGGACAAATATGGGCAAGAAGATCAGCCCTATAAACTCGCAGCCCTTAATATTTGTTCATCCTGTACAGATGGTTATGCACTACATCAGCAATCTCTCTCCTCCTCTGGCAGATAAATTTACTGAACATATAATAGATGACAAAAATAAATGGAAAACTGTTACGTCCTGCGTGATGCAATTACCAATCTTTCTTTCCAAAAACTTCATGCTTCATTTACATTAAAGTAGATAATTAGACTTGTATTCCAGCACAATATGGAGAATCCATAAGCTTAAGCAGATAGATGTGTAGCACTCTCATGACAGAATCATAACTGGTCTGAGATCATGCTTGAACTTCCTATTTTCCAAGGACTATTCACATCACTGAACTTGTATAACATAACACTGCAAGAGGACATTTCATCCACTGAGACTTACAAGTAGGTTAACAGCAATGTAATAGTTTTTCTAAAAACTGGAGTCTTAAAAAGTGCTTCACACATCACTGTATATTTCAATACTGTGGATAACATGGCATTAAATAATCTACTGTATTGTAAGTGCCCATTAAGCTTTATCATTAATGTGATATGATGCTTCTGACACTTATATTTCTGATACTTTTATGCTTAGGCACATTGCAGTGTGTTATACTTGGCTGGCAATGGAAGCTTTCAGTTACCAGCTTTACTAAACAGAGATTTTTTTTTTTATTGTCAAGAAGACATGAATCTGAAAGAATCAGCTATCATAAAAGGCAAATATTAAAGGGATGAGCTTTGTGTTAGGACTTCTCCAGATCTTGCATCTGATCACTAGAATTGTAGCCACATTAACATTTTAT